CTGTACCAGATGCAGCAAAACAGGCCCAAAACCATGATACTACCACCACCATGTTTCACAGATGGAATAAAGTTCTTATGCTGGAATGCAGTGTTTTCTTTCTCCAAACATAACGCTGCTCATTTAAACCAAAATGTTCTATATGGATCTCATCTATCCACTAAACATGTCTCCAGTATTCCTCTGGCTTGTCCACATGACATTTAGCAAACTGCACATGGGCAGCAATGTTCTTTTTGGAGAGCAGTGGCTTTATCCTTGAGACTTTGCCATGGACACCACGGTTGTTCAGTGTCCTCCTGATGATGGACTCATAAACATTAGCCAATGTGAGAAAGGCCTTTAGTTGCTTAGAAGTTAGTCAGCAGTCCTTTGAAACCTAGTGGACTTTTACACGTCTTGCTTTTAGTGTTCTTTGTTGGTGGACCACTCCTGGGGAGGGTAACAGTGGTCTTGAATTTCCTCTATTTGTACACAATCTGTCTGACTGTGGATTGGTGGAGTCCAAACTCTTTAGAGATGGCTTTGAAACCTTTTCTAGCCTGATGAGCAACACCAACTATTTTTTCTGAGGTTCTCAGAGATCTCATTTTTTTGTGCCATGATTCACTTCCTCAAACACTGTGGATTCCAAACTCTTTAGAGATGGCTTTGAAACCTTTTCTAGCCTGATGAGCAACACCAACTATTTTTTCTGAGGTTCTCAGAGATCTCATTTTTTTGTGCCATGATTCACTTCCTCAAACATGATCAAACTTTGATAGATCCCTGTTCTTTATATAAAACCGGGCACACACTGACACCTGATAGTCATCTCACTGATTAAAAACAGCTCTGAACAGATGGAATCTAATTTCAACTTCAAATTAACAGCTAATCCTAGAGATTCACATAATTTTGCTGCTCACAGATATGTAATATTGGATAATTTTCCTGAATAAATAAATAACAAAGTATATATTTTCATCTCATTTGTTTGATTGGGTTCTCTTTGTTAACTTTCAGGACTTGCATGAAAATCTGATGATTTTTTGGGTTATATTTATGCAGAAATATAGACAATTCTAAAGGGTTCACAAACTTTCAAGCAGCACTGTATATACAAAACAGGCCATGACATTCAGGAATCATCTAATATCATGTTACAACCCTGCAATACTAAAGATGCGATCACATTATTGAAAAGTCTATTGTCATTAGCGTAGTGATGTATAAAGCATGGTTCACATGGAAGACACTTTCAAACCAAGTAGCTTTCTGTTGGTCAGTGTGGTGAATTCACATCAGCGTTAATTTCGTTGACGAATAATTTTCGTCATAATTTGTCAACAACATTTTTGACATGACAACGAGACGATAACGAACAAAAACTCTTTCTGAATGACAAAAACTATGATGTAAATCTACTGACATTTTTGTCAACGAATAAAAACGAGACGAAAATGTTATGGAGGGACGATTTGGGAAGAGATTATTTGAGAATGAATCTGCTGCGTAGTTCGGAGGTTAGATGCATACATATGAACCGGCGGGACATAACCTAACATACACTTGCTGCACGTCGCATAAAATGTTCAAAAATGTCAATATGTGGAAGTAAGAGAAGAGCAGATATATGGATAAATCTGAAGACACAAGAGAGCACTCAATTCGGTCCAGTTTTCTGAGCGCAGACATTGAAGCATACACACAGAAAGCACGTCTCACAGCACACGAGTACTCTTTCGCGCCGCATGAATGGAGAATTACACACAAAAGGATGTCGAATTGTCGAGTATTCACGTAAACACAGCTGATAATGTCTTAAGTGAACGTAAACAGTAGGGAGAACGTGTATCAGTACATTGCATCCATTGCAGCTGTGCATTCGATTTTAAAGGGATAGCAGCCTAATTTAGTTGCTATTGTTCGAGTCACTGATGTTAATCAAGCAACAAAAGAAAGACAGAAAATCACGCACTGCTCTTGACTGAAAAACTTTAGTAGCCCTAAAGATTAATCTAAATTTAATTATAGAAATAAATATGTCTGCTTGAAAGAATATATATGCTGGTGTATAGTGATATATACAGTATATATATAATTTTTTTTTTTTTTACTAAATGACATTGCCACCTACTGGCCTGGCATGCACAATACAGCATTTTTGCGGATATGTGTGAACAGGGATCGTTGTGTTGTCTATTTCCTTTTCTTAAACTTTTCAAAAACTAATCAAATTCTTCAGGATAACTACAAACAGGTCCATTTGATCAGGGTTGGAGCTAATCTCTGCAGGAAAGTGGATCTCTAGGGCCAGAGTTGCCCGGCAGCATTTTTACTGTATACTGTGCACTATTTACTCTACTGGACTAGACAGCAGAGTACATAGTGCATAGTATACAGTAAATACACAGAGATGGTACATCATTTAAGACACAACTATGGAAGGAAGACAGAAAAGAAAAGTTTTGTCGACTCAATAATCAGACCAAAATGAGACAAAGCTGCCCTTTAACATAATACACAGATCGGGGAAAACATCTCAGATTACTTATGTAACCATGGTTCCCTGAGTAGGGAACGAGACACTGCGTCCTCTAGGGGTCGCTATGGGGAACGCCTCGTCGTGACCCGTGTCTGAAGCATACATTGAAAAAACACCAACTCGTCACGGCAACAGCCATGACGTCACTACCGGTGTGTATAGTATAAATAGGCGCCGGGAGCACACATCATTCACTTCTTCATCTGAAGCTTGCGTCCGCAGCATGGCAAGAAACCTAGAGGACGCAGTGTCTCGTTCCCTACTCAGGGAA